CCAACGACATGGCTACAAGACATACCACGATCAGCTTCAGTATTCAACTTAGGAAAAAATTGGTCATTGACTGTTTCGATGATTGCGATTGCCGAATCTTTAGCATTGAGACATTTCTTCTCTGTGGCCTCATTGAGCGCACAGAGGCTATATGATGCAGAGTCAGCATTATACACTACACCTCTTACTAGCTGAAAATATTCATGTGTGCATAAAAAATGATACAGAAACCAAAGACACAGCTTACCGAGCCAATTTGCGCGAGAGTTGTAGGACATTCATCACAAAGAGGGTAGCTGAAATTTTCGAGTAATGTCTGTGTTATGAAATGTTTGAACGAAATAATCTTCAGAAAAACTCACTCCCACCAGGAAGAGACGTAGTCAGCGTGCTTGGTTTCAATAGATATGAAACAATGAAGCAACAACAGCATCACTACCCTGTACAACATCTTGATCGATGTTTAGCAGCAATCTGCAAGTCCTTTTATACGTACGAGTGAGTCGTTTATATTCATCGTCCTGGATAGAAACATCAGAACTATTGTTTTGTTATTATTTCTTCATTGTATTTTCTTACGTCCGTATTATTCGCTCAAACTAATCATTTCAAAAATCATCAAAAAATATAATGTTTTTTGAAGTAGCCTGATTGTCTCTATACAAGCGTGTTCAGGGTCTGACACAATGAGAATTACTCTTTCCATACAAAACTAGGTCAGGTTGTGTGCGAGAAATAGGTCAATCAGTTTCCACCTCCTTTCTTCTTTCCTTCTATTCTTTCTTTTGATTGAATCTGGTTGCTGTATATAGTTACTACACACTCTATATTCTAATGTTGAATATGACTATTAGAAATTGAAACATTTGAATAAACCTGTTCGAGATTTAGATTGTTCTTTTCACGCTTCTTACATGTATTTTTTTTAGATGCGCTTCATTTTCTCAAACAAATCTATATTGACTACACTCATCGTCTGTTTCTGCCTGTGGGACAATGTACATGCAGGTTTGTTAATCAGAATAGATTGTTGAACAAATGAACATATTGTTTTGTTTTTTTTAATTAAATACCCACTTTGATAAATTATTTTCAGGAAACATCGTCTCTTCCATTTTAACATCAACTACCGCTGCTCTAGGAGACAACACTCATATTGAGTCTACATCATCCTCTTCCTTCGACATGGAAGAAGAACTGGCCAAAATTGCCGAATCATGTCTGACACCTCGAGACCACGAGCAACTATCAGGCAACTTATTGAGACAAGGTTACGTGCGAATTTTCAATCAACATTTAATCAGCGAAGCGGAAGAGATTATTGGTCTTACGGAGATGCGCGCTGCTCTCGGATTTTCGCCTCCAGGGCCTTGGACAAAATACAGGGAACCAAGTGCAAGCGAACTCACAAGCGCTTCCACTATTGAGGAATACTTTAACCTGAAAGAGCCGGGCAGCCCTGATCGAAGTACCGACAGCTACTTCTTTTTCGAGCATAATTTTCCTCCTGTGATTGCTTTTTTGGACAAACGCTATCCTAGCATTCGCGCTATTTTTAAGCAAAAGTTTAAAGAAATTTTAAATCACGATTTAGGAGGTGTAATAGACAGGAAAACAGTTGATCATTTAATTGAAGAATATTTAAAAATACTCCTGAAAGTATCTCGTGCAACTGATAGAATGTATCGTAGAAGCAATGAATGCAGAAGGCTCAGTGAAATGATGGCTGAAAAAGGGATGAAATTGGGCCCTGAGCCTTAGCTGTACCTGAGCTTTCAGTTAAAGATGTTTTTAGCGTTTTTTGGCTTATGTACTTTGTATTATCTATTTAACTTTCGAAGTGTGATAAAAACGTTTTCTCGATTGAAATTTTGTTTACAAGCTTTTTACCGTTATAACTCGACGTGATGCAGATGTTAGAAACATTGGATTAACAAATTTACATTCTTTGCACTTCATTACTGAGCTGCATACTTTGTCAATTTTTTTCTCGATTAGTATGAACATTACTGCTTCGGAAGAAATTATGATAATTTTCTAGTGGGGTTTAAGCACCTATCAAAAAAAAATGAAATTTCAAGACTGTTTGAATGATCACTAGAACATTAAGAAAGATTTGCAATATTTCAGAATCTGTTTGAGCTTAACGGGTGTAAGAGAGCTATTCACGCAAAGTTACAAGCATTCCTCGTGCGTTTTGGAAAATTCTAAGATATGTGGAAGCCCTAGCGGGGATGCGTGAGTCTGGCCCAGCTTCTAAACGAGGGGGAGTGCTATCAACGAGAGGTGGATTATCAATAGAACAACTGACCTCGTATTTGCAACAGTCTGTGTATCATACAGACACCGCTATGTAGTTGTCACGTCATATGAGCAAGATGTGATCAATACGGATCAGTTAAAGATGAACGCACCGTTTAGAATGCAAACTTACGTTTCTAGTATTAAGCTGCCACTGATACGAACAGGAGGTTTATTCGAGAGCCATCGTCTGTACGAAACGTTCATACCATTGAAACGATGCGATGCGAATTGAGATTATAGTTTATGTGTCAATTACAATTCAGATATATCTATGTGTATGTGTGTATGTGGTATAATCTGAGAAATATCTTTTATTTTCAGTTCTTTGTGTATAAATGATGATGATTGTTGTAGATAGATTATTAAGAAAAGAAAGTATTGTCCTAAACACATCTCTAAAAAAAAAGCTGAGGCTTCATAGTACAAATCTGGGTGCCGTCAATCGTTTTTGAAAAGAATTCTTCTATGAATTATCATCAATTTGAAACCTCCGACCTCACTTTAGTAAAGTGTGTCGACCTCCCAAGTTTAAAAACTCTAATGTGTGAACTCGTATGATTGAATGAGAAAATGGTGTCAAAGTAAGTTTGGAATGATGACAATGTATGATGTACACTGGGTGTATTTGTTAATTGATGACAACGAAGAAATGCCTGGCGGCGCCCATAGCGCAGTCGGTTAACAAAAGTCCCACAAGCTCACGCTCCATTGTTAACTTACTATTTCGGTTTTAACGGACGCGGCGTTTCAAAAGATTTAATTTCGAAATAGATTCATAATATTTTGCAGAATTACACTCAACTTATAATGATATTCCATTTTGTGCAGAAAATGTCAAAATAAAAAACGAATTAAAGATTTCGGGAACTTACGGTTTCGAACAGACTGTTAAAAAATTGTGTAATATGCTTTTTGGCAAAGAAAAGTTTGTAATTCATCATGAGAATTCATTGCATTGTTCAAATCTAGGACTAGAGATTAAAAAAAATTCTCAGAATCATTGCTTTTAACAAGAGCAAATGGTTAGCTCATTACAGGGAACTCAATACCAACCTGAGGAAGAGAACAAAAAAAAGATTTTTTCAAGCTAATGAATATTTAATTTTTCGGAAAAACTATGAAATATGTTAGATAAAGAGTTGGTGTCTGAACCAATACCGCCACAAAATGTATAATATAAAACAAAATGTTAGTAACCATTGGAATGGAGAAGTTTAATATTGTTCTTGATAAACTTTTTTTATGTTGGTAGATATGGGAGAAACCGATTGCTGCGATTGGTGGAAGGAATTTAATGAACAGAGTAATTACACATGAAAATAAAACAATCTTCTTCTTCTCTTTCATTCAATAATCTTCTCTCACATACCAGGCACGCTGTTTGCAAATGCTTGGTACTCGTACACCGTCCGTGTGCGAAGCACGTAAAAACTTTTAGGAACCCTAAAAATAATCTCCTTTTTTCATGTTAAAAACGTACATCAAGTTATATTATCTCAACTGAAAATGGCTTGCAAATACCTAACCGCTCATGAAGTTTTGGACGCACTCAACAACCCAACTTTTTTTTTTATTCAGTTTTCTCCTTTTATGCATGTTTATATCAGTATGTTGATGACGGAAGTACCTCCCTTCGAGGAAAATCCGATTACGGTCAACTCTTCCTACTTCGTCCTGGATAAAGACTCAGTTGTCGATACGAATGATCTGACTACCGATGCTTTCTCACCTATTTGAGGTAGTGCTGTCCGTGTTACCGTTCTATCCGAATCTAAAGACATGTAAACTACCCATAAGACCCAGAACACTAGAGTAGGCAGAAATGTAGACACACCATATATATGACCTTCAGACCTATTGTTAGGCAGAGTCTTTAGTGACCGTACTCATGCTGGCACATTCTTTATTGGATACCACATATGTACCAGATCTAGAGACTTCTCCTAGAATGTGATAACATCATTACTTCTAGTATCCTTTCATCCTTTCCTATATATACATCTCCTCTGGAATGATTAACACTTTACCTTAATAGATATTCGGTTGTATATCTTTAGAACTCAATGTTATGTTAACCATGATTCACAATAAACCATTTTAACTCATGATAGTTATTCTAACAATAACATTTCTGTTAAGACTTCATTTCCGCTACACCCGGAAGTCAAACAGAACGTTCCGACAAAAACAAGTTTTCAATGCTTGGAAGTGAACGATAACAAGCTCACGGTGAGCAAGGGTAACACGGACGTGGAACTCAAGATGATCCGTAACAGTCACCGTAGCTATAGGTTAGTTACAGAAGTTGGCTAACACAGCTACATGTTTAAGATATATTTTGCTACTTCCGGCGGAAATTTGGCTTCTCACGTGTTGTTCTGTTATAATACACCGGTACGTGTAAGATTTTGTTAGAAAGCATCCGGAAACTCTTCCAAGAGGAGTTTATGTTCATGAAGACAAACTCAGGATCAAGAAAGTTGTCGTCTCAAGTCAAGACGCTCAAATCTGCTCTTGAGAACAGAACGACGGAAGCTGCTAAATACTCTCTTGTAGCTGAGGGTCAAACAGTATCCCGAAGCCCGGTTTGTCTAATGATCTCTATCATTAATCGCTTGTATCTCAGCTGTCAAGCGTGAGTCGATTCCGGATCATATCAAGACAAAGCAGGGTAGGAAGGCTCCGTAGGACCTCCACGTTATAATTGACCGCTATCTGGCAGGTATGCAAAGGAGGAGATCTGGTAAAAACCAAGTATTAAAAGCTAGGTAAGAACTTACTGTACTTTCAGATCTTAATTACCGTATCTTAGGTGACGGATCTCTCAAAGTGAGGGTTATGGCCGGATTTCCGGTAGCGATAGATTGATATGAATCATCGTTATCGGAAGTTGGTGATCTCTTTGATTACAGA